TTATTTATGTGCCTTACATACTCAGTACATTATACGTACTGGCATCCCTTTTGCCTGGGAACGCTGCGTTTCATGCCCGCAGGTCTAGATAGACAGGTCGAGAGCCCTCAAAGTAGGCTATCAGCTCAGCGGAAGATGTTGGTGCGCTCCATTTGCTTCGGAGTTGCGTGTTTGGTTAGTATGATTTAGACATGTATAGTTTGGTATGGAGGGACTCTGTCCTGACCTTTATGACAATTATGCAGTCTTAGAGGCTTGTAGACATATGTCGTGTACGTGAAAGATTGTTCGGCCTTGTTGGCCTATGTTTAGAGTTTATAAAGGATCATGTTGGCATGTTATGCCCGTATGTCACATTTATATTATGATGTAATAAGAAAGATATGTTATGTTGGTACTCAGTTGAGTAAGGTACGGGTGCCTGTCGCGGCCCATCAGTTTGGGTCGTGACAAAAAGTGGTATCAGAGCAGTTATGTTCTAGGGAGTCTACAAGCCGTGTCTAGTAGAATCTTGTTTATGGGTGTGTCATGCACCACACTTATAAGCAAGAGGCTACGAGGCATTTCAGATTGTCGATCTTTCTTCTTACTCTAGATCGTGTGGTAGAGTTCAGCTGTAAGAATTCAAATTCCTAAACTCTATCTTATTCGTAATACAACGATACTTACATTTAGAAAGACGATCGCTAATGAATAAAGCTGTGGAAGTATTGAGTTAGAGGAACTCAATTTTAACTCGATTTTGCATCTTGCTTATGATGAGTAAATGTGAGATTTTCAACAGATTATGCATATACTAAAAGGTGTAAGGTTCTTGATAAGGAGCTTTAAGGAAAGAATACTTATCCACTCTTACGGTAAAAAGTAATAACAGGATTGAAAGTTAGACACAAGTTTCAACAAGTAAAATAAGCAAGGTGAAGAAGGGAACGAGGTACCCATTTAATGAAGGTTATCGGTATTTACAATTCAGGAAGAAAAATTAATAAGCGTTTTGATCTACCTTCAATTGTAAGAAAGGTATGTACAATTGGCCACAGACATCTCATTTATGCCCTATGGAAGCGAATTTAAGTAGTATAAGAGAAGGATGGATATCAAGATCCGGCTGGTGTTAGAGTGACCCAAAATGATGGATATATTGTTTGGGTTAGTTGACATTTCTGAAGGATAAAGTGCTAATAAATCTCCTTGTGAGACACCCGGATGGTGCACTCTAAAATAGTACATCTAGATATAAGTACTACAAAGATAGGCACTGGAAGCCTGAAAAGGATAATTATCATCTTAATATGACTCCCGTCCCTAGTAGAGAGATAATGTTAAGCAACCCGAAGAGCAAGTGGATGGAGCAAAGGGGAGCTAAAAGCAAAAGAATATCTTGTCGATAAGTTTTCAGAATAAAGTGATAGACAAAAATGTTAGCAGGAAATAAGAAGAGAGTGCACTATGAGTAAGATGTGATACATGGATGACAACTGTAGATCAGGAAAAAAATGACAATATTACAGAGTTTGTAGTCAAATGAAGGAAAAGACGAGAAGTGACGGGCCTTGAGACAACAAAAGAGTATAGGCCATAAAGTCATATCATCATTATGAGAAACAAGTTCGTGAATAAAAGGAAAAGCTTAGACCCCCAAAGTAATACAAATCAGTATGGGCAGGTGAATAGGGTAACTAAACATGAATTAAGGAATGAGTGATTGGATAATACGCAGTATCATCAGAATTTCAAATTTTGCCCCGGCGTTAGCAGAATGGACAAAAGAAGAAAATTCATGAGAAATTCTGAAAATGGTCATTTAGTAAGACACTTCCCTAAAGCAAGCAATGTGAGCAAAGTTAAACTGAAGGGACTGTACGTGCCGGTTACACTAGGTGTCTCTCTCTTGAGTAAGGAAATTTGGTATCCTTGGTACCGAACGATTACCGCAATGCGAGTAAGGGTCATCGATGAAGTGAAAAGACGCCAAAGATGAAGAGGTAAAACATTTATATGTAGATCATCGTAGCACTAAATGTTAGTACTCCCCTAAAGGGGGAATATGGAGTGGTGTGCCATGAAGTCAGAATTAAGTGGTGCTAGTAATCATGGAATGGTAAAAGAAGAATGCGGTAAAAATAAAAAAGGAATGAGATTACACTTATTCAGCTCCTACGTATATGCTACGATTCCAGAACATGAATTAAGCACGACGCCAAGGAGAGGAAGTAAGGGTTCCGGCCCGGGATGTTATTGATAAATAAAGAGCCAGCACAAGAAGTAAGTTATGACAAAGGAAATAACCCAAGAAAGATTACACGGAGTATGGATATAAGAACGGACCAACGAGCAGTTAGTAGTTGATTCAGGAAGAGTCTTGTTATGGCTAGACAAGAGGGTAAAGACAAATCAGCAGATCAATGTAAGATAAACACATGAAACCCCAACATGGGGAATTCAGCCTCGTAGTTATGACATTGTAATACTTGAGATATATTCGTATAAGAGTTGGGGAAGTTAAAAAGGTACCGTATGAATATTATAGAAATAAAAGAGAATGCCACTGAGAAGACAGTCAAAATATCAGTTCAGAAGCAACACTACAAACACAAGGGCGTGGAGGTAAGTATCTACAGATAGTTAGAGGCGGGGAAGAACATCAAAAGCTCCATCGGGTATATGATGTAATAAGCTCGCAGCTTTACAAGAGTCTGGGGGTCCTCCTTAAGTACTACAATGGAAGACTAGCTGAGGAAATAAGAAAGAAGGCTTCAACCTAAACGTAGAAATTTGAAGTAGAAATGATCATGCGAAAACAGTCTTACTACAAAAATTGTACGCACTCCAAAAGAAAGTGGCACCTACCGTGGCCAATAAATGGGGAGAAAACCTAAAGGTAATATTCGAGACCAAATGAGTTGCACAAAAAAAAAATTCGACATGCGTGGGAACTAGGATATGTTAACTATGCATGTAATAAGGGGCAGAAACACCATAAAAAGTAATTGCGTACGTTTAAAAAAAGCTAAGAAGGAACGAAAGGAATTATTCGATCAATGATCCCGAGTTGGTGACGTTATGAACACACTTAAGAGTTTGGAGTTTTATACTTGCAACATATACAGCCGTAGAAGATCCTGGTATACGTTAAAATAAAGAATTGAGCCCAGGTCATAGACAAAGGATTGAATGGTTAAAAGATTGTATCATGGATATTCCATAACGCCTATGAAGGGCTAGGGTAATGACTAATACCAGGAGACGGATATCGGAAGATAGCTTAAACCTACATAAAGTTGATTAGAAGAAAGAGGAAACTAAAGAGTTTCATCAACTAAAAAATCAGGAGTCTGATTATTGGTCGCGGAAAATTATAGACATCATGATTGAGAACATTGTAGAATCACTCTTAATATTAGAGGTATAAGAAAGATAGTATAGTAGCCATATTTTATTAGGGCTCTATGATTATGCCTGTGAGAAGAGTACCAGCCTCACAAGAAGTCAGTATGAAGCTCCCACCGGATTGTGTATGCACCAGAGGTGCAAGTATTATAAAAGAGCTCCAAGTTATGGACATAAATCACACCTAGGTGGAAGGGAGGTCATGAAAGAGATAGAAGATACGATGCGAGATATTAAAATAAGTAAGGTAAAGGTGAATAACGTACGAGATACTCAAAGGTAGAAGATATTGAGTAGTCCATACTTCGGATAAAAGGCTAGAAGCGTGGGGATTTAGTATCTAGGAATAATAGCGGTATCATCAGTAGCATATCTTCCAGCCTATGGTCTAGGTATCGAAAAGCCTGACTAAGAGAGTAAAGAAGAGTTAGAGACGATGTGATGTCTCGCTTGATATTCTAAAATGACAGAAGGAAAGCTATAATGCAAGCAAGTTGAAAGGTTGCAAGTAATATAAAAAGATATGTGTACGCGCTCCAAAAGAAAGTGGCACCTACTGTGGACACTGAATGGGGAGAAACATTAAAGGTAATATTCGAGACCATATGAGTTGCAAAAAAAAATCGGTATGCGCGGGAACTAGGATAAGTTAAGTATGCATGCAACAAAGGGCAGAAACACCATAAAAAGTAACTGTGTACGTTTAAAGAAAGCTAAGAAGGAACGAAAGAAATTATTCGATAAGTGATCCCGAGTTGGTGACGTTATGAATGCTCTTAAGAGTTTGGAGTTTTATACTTGCAACATATACAGTCGTAGAAGATTCTGGTATACGTTAAAAGAAAGAATTAAGCCCAGGTAATAAACGAATGATTGAATGGTTAAAGGATTGTATCATGGATATTCCATAACGCCCATAAAGGGCTAGGGTAATGACTAATACCAGGAGACGGAAAGAATTGAGCCCAGGTCATAGACGAAGGATTTAATGGTTAAAGGATTGTATCATGGATATCACTACAAGAAAAAGCCTTATTAGGGACCAGCATTTAGCGACAAGTTCTAAATATGGTCCTTAAATGTGTACTTATAGGTATGAGAATTGTTTTGGTCTTTAAAATGCAATTTTATCTTTTAAATACATGACCAGACTTATAGCCCGTTTGGCCAAGCTACAAATATCAGCTTATTTTAAGAAGTGCTTTTTTCAAAAGTGCTTTTCTCAAAAGTACTTTTGGTGAGAAGCAGTTTGTGTTTGGCTAATTAGTTTGAAAATTACTTCTGAGCAGCAATTAGTGTTTGGCCAAGCTTTAAAAAACTGTTTCTAAGTGTATTTTTCTTAAAAGTGCTTCTCAAAAAAGTGCTTTTGAAGAGATGCTACTTTTTTCTGCTTCTCCAAAACTGCTTCTGCTTCTCCTCAAAAGCACCTTTTTTGCTTCCAAAAGCTTGGCCAAACACCTCAATTTTTGGCCAAAAGTACTTTTGGCAAAAAAAAACACTACTAGCCAAAAAGAAGCTTGGCCAAACAGGCTATTATTCTGGTTTATACAAAAATTAATATCTGGTCTCTAATATCGATTTCAGCGGGATAGGGGCGCGAAATTGAGGAAAACTAAAGTTAAAAGAAAAAAGAAGTAAAGCTCCAAAAATTTCATGTTAATCCCTCCAAATTATCTTTCACCCTAAAATCCCTCCAATACGCTAAAATCCCTAAGAGTTGGCCGCAAAACTTCATCAAAATGCACAAGGTTGCAAAGAACTTAGAAGGTAGGTTAGTGTCTAATATTCATCACTCTCCAAGAGACTACACAAATTATACCATTGGATTATCCACCTAAAAAAGAGTAAGTTTAATTTCTTTCTCTTTAATCTATTCTATTTCTTTTTTCTTCTTCATGCTTTTTTCCCGATTAAATCAGAAATCAAAAAAAGGGTTCTGCAATTTTTTGTTTCTTTAGTTGTTTTCTACAATTAGTTATTTTGAATACTGATTTTTCTTGTGTGCGTGATAAAAGTGAGATTATTAGGTTTAAAATTGGGTGATCTTTATTGTGTTAGGAGAAATTTGTACAAAAGAAGGGTTGTATGGTTGCTCGTAAAATCATCAGACATAAGAGAATATTAAATACCCCAGAACTGAAATTTCATCAAAAAAGGGTATTGATTGCTCGTATTAGGACTGAAATATGATTTATAATTTGATTCATCATATCCCAACATTCAGTCATGGAATATATTCTACTTTTTTTTTGTCTTTCAAGCAAATGGGGCTCGAATGTGAGTAACGATAAGGCAAAGAGAAACCAGCCACGCAAAGGCTACAAACACCGGGTATACCGGCCTGCCATGCCAAGATACAGGTCGATTAATATCCCAATGACTGAATTGGTTAGCCTAGATATAGAAACACCACCCTCATTACCTCTTCATGTACTTTTCATCAACACGGAAAAAACAAAATACACACTTACACACAAGAAAGATAGAGATGTAAGTATATAGATTTTTTCTTGTAGAGTTTTGTCTAGGCTATAGTTTTATCCTTTGCGATTTACATTATAGAATTCTTCTGGGGACTTTCTTGAAGGGTCATGAAAATATTGTAGTATGTCTTGTGGTTTTTCATATGAGGTGATGAATTGGTTGAATTTTTTCATATGATTTGTCAAATCTATTCTTTTTTAAGAATTTAATTGATGATAACTGGAAATTGGTAAGTTCTTATTTGCAATATTAGCTGCTATATGTAGTGTAGATCCCACTTTATTGAGTGTAAGTACCCCCTATTCAATGACTCTTTCCTGGCTTATGTAGCACTTATGGATAACTTCATATCTGAAAGCTAATTTCCGTTAAGTTTCAGTTGAATTAATATCATTAAAGTTGGGCATTAGGAACCTTTAACTTCTTTAAGTGTCTATCTTGTGCAAACTAAAGTTTGTTAAACACAAGATAATTTAGCCTATCAAACCCATATATATTATTATGACACTCGATTGCACATGACCATTAGGATATTTTTTTAATTTGCATTATATTCTAATCAACAAGTTCTTAGTTAATGATATGATACATACTGGAGAGTAATTCATGTGCTTTAGCTCTCATACATTGATACGTGCATTTTTGAGTCATAGAACTTGTATATTTGTTATAGGATTATACTACCACCTAAATTAATTAGTACATCAAAAACTTTACTCGGGAGATGTTATCTTCTACTCATTTAATGTGCAATCATATATTTCCTTTTCTGGCTTATATTTGTGAATGGATATTTATAGACTTATTTGGGAGACTTACTGCTTCCAACTTGTGTCTGTGTGTTCTGAGTGAGTCTGGATATGTGTAATAGTTCTAATTGGCAAAAACGATGACTGGCAGAAGAGAAGGAGCATTGAGGTTGATGGTATGCCGCACTTATGTTGTTTCATGTGCAAGAGCTTCTCAGATGTCTATAGCATTGAAGTTACCTGTGTAATTTCAGCCTACCATATGGTTGGTACAAATGTTGCATTGAATCAAGATGAAAATGAATATGGGGTACCCCAAGAATATTGACAGGTATTCAGATGTCTATAGCATTGCATGTTCTGCTGGCGTAGCTACTGCTGGTACAACAGTTGATGATGTAGCTACTGCTGGTGCCTGTTCTATGTTTTAAATTCATAAAATTGAAATAAAGGTAAGGTATATACTAAACTTTGGTCAAATTAATTCAAGCCTCATTGTAGAACTATGTCGATCCTAAAACAATTGAGAAACATGTGCGTTTGGTTAATTAAACATGTTCTTTACTTTTAGTGGGATCTGATAAAAATTTCTCTATATACTTTGTAGGCTCAAATCCATGAATTGGTGCAGTCTGAACCATCACTTCCTAGAATAGAGATTGTAGAAAAATGCTTTGGACCTCAAAGTGATAGTCATGTATTTGGTTTTGGGGGTGGATTAAAGGTGAAAGATTTGACAGGTGGAACTGCCTCAAAAACCGAATTATTGGCTAAGTTACGTTCAATTGAAAATAAAAACCAGTCTTTGAAGGATCGTTTGTCTAACTTTGAAAATGAAATGAGAGAACTTAAGCAAATAAAAGAATTAGTATTAGTGCAACAAACTAATTTCCAGCCTCAATTTCAGGAGGATGATTATTCGGACCTTGATGATACCAAGTGAGTAACAACTTACCTGAAACCTCAATTTATTTTGTTGATTTAAGTGTATGTTATTATATATCATTTGCAGAATTTCTTCTTCTATTAATTCTGAATTTGGTGGTCGATAACCCATACTGATTGTTCAAAGTGACAATTGGGATGAAAAAACTTCTCTTAAGCTTTGTGATATGCTGAAAGAGCTTAGACCAGCTGACTCAGTGACTGCTTTGACAGTGCCCCCAAAACTCCATGGAGAGAGATGAGCTTAAATCAGCCCACTTGGTGATTTACGTGTTAACAAAGCCTCTTCGGCCGAGTGTGTTAATTTCATGCTTTCAAGAAACCCTTGGCTTCGAAAACAAGAGGCATGTAAAAAGGGGGAAACTTCCAACTCGTGCAAGTCTGCTAAAGGGCAGACATATCCTGGGGATAGATGATAATGCTGTAAACAGAAGAGTGGCAGAAGGTGCTCTCAAAAAGTATTGAGCTATATCAGCCTGTGTGGATAGTAGGAAGGCTGCTTTGGCAATTTTCACGCCACCACATAAGTATGATGCTTGCTTTATAGATCTCCAAATGCCATAAATGGAAGGGTAAGTACTTAATTTATTTCTTGATCATTCTTGTCATCATATGTAGCTGTTCTATGTGCATATAAACCAATAAAATTAAAGGGATCAGGGTGGCTTTTTGTGGGCTAAAGAAAAAGCTAATGCTATATTCTTGAGAACACATGCATTCTTATGAGTTGGGATATGAATTGCTTCAATGCCTTTGCTGTGTCCTATAATTGAGATAGAGAACTCAATGATTACCTCTGCTTGCCTTGGTGAACAAGTTCTATTACTTGATTGTTGAATTTTGTACTTATCCTTTAGAACATTATCCCTTAGCTTATTGGTTTTGCCAATATTAGCAATAACAACAGATGTTATTCAAGCAACAGATGCAGAGTGCATGAAGTGTGAGATGGATTATTATGTGGCAAAACCATTTGAAGAAGGGCAACTTTATTCAGCAATCGCCCACTTCTTTGTGTGTGGTTGATTAGGAGGTGTTTCAAGTAACTATATAATGGAGGTACCTGTTGAGGTTCCGCCTGATGGTTTAATTTAATTTGGTTGTGAAAAAGCTCATCAGTTGTCTGAATGTCCGATTAATGCATTTCTATGTTGGAAGTGGATGGAGGACCTTGGCTGCTCAGATGTCTGATAGTTGGTTCATAATGTTGCTGCTGGATAATGTAGCAGATTCAGAGCAAATACATCTATCATGACTTATGTGGTAACTCCCTACCTATATATACCAGCTTCAGTTTCATACTTGATCTGTTTGACACATTGAGAACTTTCTTGTTTAATATTAGATGAACTCAAAATAGGAAATAAAGTCTGCTACTACAATAACATATAATAACACTTAGTTATTTCCATGCAATACGATTCCTAAATTGCCAATAAACAATCAAGAGAATAGCCAGAAGATACACAAGTTTTGCTTTTCCAGACTTTAGCTTACCATCAAAATATAAACATCAAGAACAAAAGTAAATGCCTACGAATATCCAAGTATATGAATATATATTCTAGGTTCTCTTTCTCATAAGCAAGGATAGGAACAGGTGAATGGTAGTTCATCTGCTACTGTTGCTTTTTTATTTTGACATCTTTTAGTCATTCTCTAAGGTAGAGCTACGTTGGGTCTATTTCTAGAGAGGTCTCTATCACCCAAATTATGCACTTCTATACCTACTAAACTTACTGTTCTTTTTGTCAATTCCCATACCTACTAGATCTAATGTTCTTCTCCTCTACCGTAATTTAGATATTAAAATAATACCACATGCTTCTGAATAATGAGTGCACATGATATCTTATGCGAATATCACATAGTATGCATGTTTTTTGCCTCGATGATGGCGTAGTTCACGGAGAAAATCAGTGAGATCTATTAGGCTTAAGCTGACAATGCGTATCATGAACTTGGCTGTGACAAAATTATGACAAACCAATCTAAGTTAATAAGATGAAAGGGAACAATGGTGTCTAGCCATTAACTTTCTGTTGCTTCTTTTTTCTTTGTTATTTTTGTAATCTTCTGTCTACCCCTGATTTTGTTCCATCTACACTGTTATATATAGTTTTTCTAATTGAAATTTCTTATTTCTTCTACAAGTTTTCAATATTGAAGTTTACTAGAAGCAAATTTTTGATGACGTACAGATTAACCATCATTTTGCTGGGAATTTCAAGAAAATTTTACATTACAATCGCGAGATATTAGTGATATGTAGTTTTTTGCTAAATGTTTATGAACACAGTATTTTGACTAGCTTACATTATTGATGTATGGTGCAACTAACTGATGCTGATCATTTTTGGTATTATTTTATGAAAGCAACATCATCTATATATTAATATTCTCGATTTTCTACTTGCAAATTAAATGTGATTTAGAGACTTGTGAATTGTTTCTTTAGGGACTAGACTATTAGTCCTTAAATCCTTTTCAGGAATGAAAAATTTGATTGCTAAATTTGTAGCTTTGTAGTGTTGACCTGTTCGACTAAGGGACCAGCTTTAAACAAAAGATATAACGGCCAGCTTCTAACTGGCCCCGAAACTTATTAATGACCACATTTAAACTAGTCCCGAAAATATTTTAAGGACCAGGAATTTAGTCACTAAAATATGCAAATAGGCACCAGAAACATGGTCCTTAAAAACCGTTTAAGGGCTAGTTTTAAACTGGCCGCAAAACAGTTTTAGCGACCATCACCGTATCTCGTACTTACTGACCTTTAGCGGCGGAAGCTATAAGGACCAGAATAGCTGGTCGCTATTGACCATTTAGGACCAATTTCTTACTTTTAGGGACCAGTTTTCCTTTCGCTATTGACCATTTTTCTTGTAGTGTATTCCATAATTCCCATGAAGGGCTAGGGTAATGACTAATATCAGGAGACAGAGATCGGAAGATAGCTTAAGCCTACATAAAGGCTGATTAGAAGGAAAAGGAAACTAAAGAGTTACATCAACTAAAAAAAATCAGGAGTCTGATTATTGGACCCAGAAAATTATAGACATCATGATTGGGAACATTGCAGAATCACTCTTAATATTAGAGGTACAAGAAAGATAGTACAATAGCCATATTTTATAAGGGCTCTATGATTATGCCTATGAGAAGAGTACCAGCCTCACAAGATAGACATCATGATTGAGAACATTGCAAAATCACTCTTAATATTAGAGGTACAAGAAAGATAGTACAGTAGTCATATTTTATAAGGGCTCTATGATTATGCCTGTGAGAAGAGTACCAGCCTCACAAGAAGTCAGTATGAAGCTCCCACCGGATTGTGTATGCACCAGAGGTGCAAGTATTATAAAAGAGCTCCAAGTTATGGACGTAAATCACACCTAGGTGGAAGGGAGGTCATGAAAGAGATAGAAGATACGATGTGAGATTTTAAGGTAAGTAAGGTAAAGGTGAACAACGTACGAGATACTCAAAGTAGAAGATATTGAGTAGTCCATACTTCGGATAAAAGGCTAGAAGTGCGGGGATTCAGTATCTAGGAATAATAGCGTCATCATCAGTAGCATATCTTCCAGCCTATGGTCTAGGTATTGAAAAGCCTGACTAAGAGAGTAAAGAAGAGTTAGAGACGATGTGATGTCTCGCTTGATATTCCAAAATGACATAAGGAAAGCTATAATGCAAGCAAGTTGAAAGGTTGCAAGTAATGTAAAAATATATGTGTTGGTCGCAAACTATTGTATGGTAAAGTGACATGGTTCTAGAAGACATGAGTAAGGATACGAACGGGCGAGTGAGAAGGTAACGAAAATGGATAAGTCCTTAGGATTAAGCCCATGAAAACAAGAAGAGCAGATGGTTTCTCTAAGTTATACAAATCTCACTATAGCCTGAATGAGCTCAAAGAAATCTAAAATTAATAGCATTTAGAAGAGATGGAATGCTACCCTGGTAATAGAATGAGGGTGTAATTGTGATAGATAAAGGATGACGTTTGGGCCTTCGATTGAGTAATGATCTGACGAAGAAAAGAAAGAGATCTCATGAATTGGACAAGATTAAAATACCCATGAAAGGTGAATCACATTGGAATGCTGTGAGATATAGTTATGAAAGCATGGTATCACCCCAGGTGGATCAGTCTAATCATTTCAGATGTTTCCCGATGAAACGTGAACCCTAGCGGTAGGGTTACATAAAAATTTAAGTTATCAGGGGTAGATTATGGATAAATATTAAGGTGAATCAACAATGGATGGATAAAAGTCACAAAGTGTGAGATGAGATTAGGCCGTCATTCTAAAGATGAGCAGTAATGAGTAAGCATTAAAGGACTTAAATTTCTACATATGGAATAAGCAACGAGATTAAGCTGGAATTTGGTAGCATACCTCAGCAACAATAACTTAAAGTAAGAGTTATGGCAGTAAATTCATACGAATGGCTAAACGGACCTATGTGATGAGATATAGCAATATTCATGAATTCAACAAAGTACCGAGCGAAGAACTTTAATATACTTATAGATACCCAAAGGGACATCTTATCAAGCTCTACATATGAAGCCTAGAGATTGGGCACACTTACAAGGTCAAAATTGTACAGGCTGCATGATGAAAGGTAGCAACAATTACAAGATTGGAAGGATTCCGACTACAAGTTGTGGTGTGAGAAGGAGGCCTAAGGAGGGAATGCCCTGGACTTTGGACTCATTCACAGAACAGTCGCCTAGATGGCAAGGGAAGTTCTAGAGTATTCGGAAGATATAAGTTATGAAAATGATAAGTGCATCAGTCAATATTAGAGGACGAATGTTCCAAAGGGGGGACTAATGTTATGCCCCGCAGTATTACGTCGATGTTATGCTCTGCAGTAATATATTATGATGATGTTACCCTCTGCAGTAATATATTACGATGATGTTACGCCTTGCAGTATTACATTATGATGATGTTACGCTTCGCAGTATTAAGTTACGATGATGTTGCACCCTGAAGTATTGTACGTTAAATTTGTCGTAAGGTAATTGACATCAGTCCAAGTAAAAGATTATTTGGAGATTATAAGGATTAGGGTATTTCACAAGCGATTAGTAAATTCATGAAGGTGAAAGGGAGAGCAAGTCAAAGAAAATGAATTTTGTTCAAGTTTGGCATTTTGGGGTAAAATATGGTCCGAGCTAAAATACCCGGTATTTATAGACTAGTGTCATACAAGATACTACATGACCATGCTAGTAATGTGTATAAGATATGTGAAAAGTGAGTAATATTTTAAGTAAGTGAGAATAATTCTCAATTTTGCGGTTAATTGATTAATTACTAGGTAACGGGATATTACCTAATTAATTGGGGATATATTTGAATAAGATTAATCCTCCCCCCCCTCCCATAAATACGTGGCAGCTTTTGCCATAACATATTATGACTCTTACATCTTTTAGATAAGTGACATGAATACATGCATCCAAAATTGGTTACAACTATCCCCATCTCCAGAAACACTATAATATTGTGAGGAAAATAGAAAAGGTGGACAGTTTGAAGCCATATGACTGAACTGATCTCTTGAATTCATATAAGAACTAAGGTGTAAGAATCTTAAATTGTATGTTTAAAGCTATGATAGTCAACTGATTAGAGCCAACAAAGTAAGCAACTTGGAATTTTCTTGTGACGTTATATCTGTACTAAAAGTATATGGAAATTTGTGCAAGTCAAACCAAAAATGGAGTTTTCAATGGAAGTATTAGATGAATTTTCAAGTTGGCAGTGACAGATTCAAGGGTCACTCTCATGGCTTTAAGAATCTTTTGTCTTAGAGTAGCTGGATATTTCTTGGGTGAATAATTATGAGCAATTAAGGTATGTTAATGCTATTCCTTCTTTCTTTTTGGCATGATCCAAATAATACAAATGAAACGAGCAAAATACGTAACTTTCATGAATGACTCTATTCATAGAAATACTAGGGGTGTCTTTATTCTTGATTCCCCACATAAATTATTATTATTATTATATCTTTTGTTCATGGGTCTCAGAAAAATACATATTTGATAAAGTTTATCCGAAAGGCATAACAATTTTTATGGCATTCCGAGAAAATCTTATTAACGTATTTCTTATGCATTTCATGCATTTATACATGTACATTGACCCATGACCAGATGGCGTTTTATACGCGTATATATGTATATTATTTGTATATGGATATGGGAAAAAGGTTACGACGTTATATATGCACCACCACCTAATCAACTGATATACGTTGATGATTTTGCCTATAGTGGCCGAGATGATATGATGGGATGCCCTCAGGGGCTTGATGATATTATAAACCCACGTACTTATGCACGACATGATATTCATATGCATATGCATGACACTATAAGTATGTCATGATTTACAGAGTTGTCCATACTTATAGGTTGAGTCATGTACTCTATATTTCTTCCATGTCTTGTCTGCACTTATTTATGTGCCTTACATACTCAGTACATTATTCGTACTAGCACCCTTTTTGCTTGGGGACGCTGCGTTTCATGCCCACAGGTCCAGATAGACAGTTCGAGAGCCCTCCAAGTAGGCTATCAGCTCAACGGAAGATGTTGGTGCGCTCCATTTGCTTCGGAGTTGTGTGTTTGGCTAGTATGATTTAGACATGTATTGTTTAGTATGGTAGGACTCTGTCCCGACCTTTATGACAATTATGTATTCTTAGAGGCTTGTAGACATATGTCGTGTATGTAAAAGATTATACGGCCTTGTCGGCCTATATTTTGAGTTTATAAAGGATTGTCCTATTAGGCCCGTATGTCACGTATATATGATGATGTAATAAGAAAGATACGTTATGTTGGTACTAAGTTGAGTAAGGTACCGGTTGCCCATCGTGGCCCATCGGTTTGGGTCGTGACAATAATGACTTGAGGCGGAATAGAGACAGCAGTAGTAAGAACATGCAAAAGGCGTTCCATTGTGACAGATACGGGGAAAGAGGCAAGAGGTGCTTCCTCAGACACTAAATCAAAACCTTCATTATCAAACCCACGTGAAAAAAGTTGTTTATCAGAGTCATGAGATGCCATGGGAGTCTCTTCGTCAGAACTCACTAAAGTGGCTTCAACAGTCTCGGTCACAGGAACAGAATGAGGAGTAACTTCGTCATCCGAAATGACGCATCTTCTAGCCCGCGGCCTTCTAACCAAAGAACTTTCATCCCGGTCCTCCTTCTCTTCAGAATCCTGGGGTTTGTTAGCTTTCCTTTTTGATGAAGAACTCAGGATTATCTCTTGAGCCCTTGACAAAGAGAGTCTAGAAGCTGCGATTGACTCAGCACTTACACCACGAATAAGAAACCCTGATAAAAAGAAGGGTCAAATACATTCTAAAGGAAGAATGAGTAAAAATAGAAGGAAATGAATAAAGTTTTTACCGTGAGTCTTAACTTTGCAACCAAACCTGTTTGAAAGGTATTTCCAAGATCTAACTTCCATCGGAGCAATGGTCAATAATTTCTCTACCCAACCACAAAAATTGGGAATCTCTTTAACAGTTCCCATGGTTGCTAAAAAAAGTGAAATAGTCACGGGAAGTACAAACCCTTTCTAAAAAAGGGAAAAGGGAAGAAATAAAGTTGGAAAGAAAGCTTACGTGCAAAATTCCACTTTTCAGGGAATGGTATATTTTCTTCACCTACTATCCCTAGTGTAGGAGCAACAACAAATATGGCATACTAGCCACAGCCCTTATCATTCTCAGGGCTGACTAAAACCCTCTTACTCCTCGCCACCAAAATAAAAATCCCATGTTGGAACAACTTAGGGGAGTAGAGGTGGATCAGATGAAAAAAGGTGAAAGGCAATTGAGCTAAATTAGCCAAGTACCTTAAACATACAACCACCCTCCACACATTAGGGTCAATTTATCCTTAACACACATTGAAGAAACGACATAGTTCAATAACGACTAGATCAATAGGGGTCTAAATCCCAAAGTAAAAGG